TAAGAGTCCGCACGCTGCAACCAAGACCTGGCGCAGCCAAAATGAATGAATGAGTGAATGGATAAGTATTAAACAATTTTTAAAAATGGATAAAAAAATACTAAAAACATTAAAAATGGTCCACCTTCCCCACCTTTTTCTGTGTGGGACAGGACATCGAGCCCTTTACAGACACTGTCCCATTTAGTTGGTGTGATGGCCCTGTGGAGACTGCACCCCACACCTTACAGGTGAGGAAACGAGGCCGTGCAAGGCCACGGACAGCTGGATGTGGACCTCAGGTGGCGTGATGGAGGACGCAGGCACAGCCATCCCACGCCACGTGAGCCAGGCCACATCTCCCATCTCAGAGTATCAATACACACACACACACACACACACACACACACACACGAGTCTGTCAGTCAATAACACGGAGCAAACTCCTTTCTTAATAAACTCCATGTGATCCATTCTTCTCATCGAACATATTTGCTCATGGCTTGCCTCTTCTGTGTGGGCATTAATGGCCCACGTGTCCTCCAAGACAGAACTGGCCAGTGACGCCCTCTGCCCACACTGGACATGGCCCACTCATCCACGAGAGGGCCTGGCCTTCCTTGCCCCACAAGCCTGCCTCCTCCTCTGAGACCGCAAGGCCCCAGCGGGCGAAGCCTGACACTCGCCAGCTCACTCCCCCACCCACCCACCTGGCTCACCCATGCACTCATTCATTCACTCATTCAGTCATTGCTCATAGAAGAAACCAGAGTTATATGCCAAATGCAAACCAAGGAATCAGAGAATCTTCAGTGTGTCACAGGCAGTCTACAACAGTTGTTTCAGAAAAGTCTCATCTCAAGAAGCAATTTAAAATGCAAATTTCTGGGTCTGACCCCAATGTTCTAATTAAGGAGGGCCAGGTGGGGCCTGGCAGTCTGTATTTTTTCAAAACTTCCCTGGCCCATCAACCTCAGGTGACCCTGATGCCCTGCCAGGTTTGGGGTTTCGCCCAATAGATAAGTACCTTCTGGAAATGGGCAACCTCAGCTCAAGAAACCCCGAGGCAGAGGAGCTCATTACCTCATAGGGCAGCCTCTCATCACCAAGCTGCACTTACTGTGAGGAAACCCTTTTCTATACTCGGACACAAGGCGCCTCTTTGGAAATTCACTCCTTTGTTTAAATTTTGTCCTCTGGTACAATTAAGATGATGCCGACGCCCCTCTTTCATACAACCAGCCTGAAAAGGGCCATCCTATTTTCCAAAATCTTCTCCCTTTTAGGCCAAATGCCCATACTTCCAACAATTTTTAAAAAATGAAATGCATTCTCCTATTATCCCATTTCAAACGTGAAACTCCGAATTGGGTACGGTATTCTGACGGAGCTCAGAGCCTTCAAGTTTCAAGGGGCAATCCTTTCCCATGCTCTGGTCTCCTTCTAATGAGGTAGAGTCTATGGAAGAGGTTCTTGACCTTGGCTGCACGTTGGAATAATCACCTGGGAAGCTTTAGGAACTATTGATGCTTAGGGCCTACCTCTCAAGAGATTCTGATACAACCGTCTGGGGCTCTGCCTGGTTATGAAGATTTTTTTTTTTTTTTAAAAGGTTCTAGGTGATCTTAATGAGCAGCCAATGTTGAGAGCTACAGATCCGATAGACGTTGATCTCTCTCTGTGTTATTCTATTGGCTCACACTGAACTCATTTACACTCAACCTTTTGCCCTGAATCCCTGCCGAGCCGGGTCTTCCTCCTCATGCCCTTGATGAACTAATTAGCTGAGCTTAATGGCAGGCTTTTACAATGACCCCCAGTAACTGACTCTCATCAGTTTGGTGTGGGTCCACCGTTGTAAGGCTACTGAACGTCAAGTCAACTGAGCTGCGTATTGACGATCTGCTCTCTCTTTAGCTTTGAGCTTCTGGTATCTTCACGGAAAACATGAATAAAATTGTAGATCTCTGAACGATACTCTACTGAAAATTCTATGGGAAATAAATGACAGCAGGTGCTTTTTAAGCCATTGGATATCCTTTCGCAGATAAGGGCTAAAGATTTATGGTCACAGATAAGTCCAAGAGCATGGCGTCATTCCTAGAATGAAATGTTTCATACAGCTCTCCCAAGTTCTCTGGTGGCAGTGTTAGGTAGTCAGACACGCCCCGTCCTGGATGGGGATCATCTTTCCCTCCCCCATCTGGACACTGGTGATCAGAACATGCCCAGAGGTCCTCCCTCTTGTGGTCAAGGACCACCGCTAAGTTTCCAGCCATATCAGGACCAAGCAAGATAGAACTGCCAGAACAGGTGGGTGCAGGCGCAGCAAGACCCAAAAGGTGACTCAGAGTAACAGGGCGGGGTTCATTATGCCGTAATTATAATAAATTAGCATTGCAGTTTTTGTTCCTCCCCCCACCGTGTTTCACTTCGATGCTTATGGGTAAGCACCTATGCACTAAGGGAGAAGTGATAATAACCTAAAGCTGTCCATCAACTTGTCAGTCAGATGACGCAGGACACAGGGAGGGACCACTGCTCTAAAAAACCCAACCCGACCCCCACCGTGGGACTGCTTCTGGTTTCCAGACAGCCCGCTCTTGTCCTTTCTCAGGAGCATACTTTTGCTTTAACAAAACTCTTGCTACTTAAAACTGCTCTATGCCTCTCGTCTGAATTCTTTCCCTTGAGAGGACAAGAAGCAAGGAAACGGCTGTTCTGCAGCAGCTAGCGCAAGCCCCCATGCTGGGCTGCCAGGGTGCTGCCGGCGGAGGACGTCTCCTGTGTGTGACCGCCCCAGTCTTATTTATTTATTTTATTTTTAAAAATTTACTTATTTATTTATTTTTGGCTGCACTGGGTCTGCGTTGCTGCGCACGGGCTTTCTCTAGTTGTGGGGGCTACTCTTCGTTGCAGTGCGCAGGCTTCTCATTGCGATGGCTTCTCTTGTTGCGGAGCACAGGCTCTAGGCGTGCGGGCTTCAGCAGCCGTGGCACGTGGGCTCAGTAGTTGTGGCACATGGGCCCTAGAGCGCAGGCTCAGTAGTTGTGGCGCGTGGGCTTAGTTGCTCCGCGGCATGTGGGATCTTCCCGGACCAGGGCTCGAACCCGTGTCCCCTGCATTGGCAGGCGGATTCTTAACCACTACGCCACCCGGGAAGCCCTCCCCAACCTTATTTAAATCAACTGCCATGTGGACCAAAACTGCTCTAGTGATACCATCTCAAGATGCTCTGAGCCTATAGGAAGACTGTATTAATACACATCTCACTGGCCAGAAAATGAACTGTTAACTGGTTTCTCCAGAGCTGGAAGGTCTTTGACTCCATTATGAAAGCACCATTCAACTTTGTATGAATGAGGAGACGATATGGCAGAACACAGTCGCAAGGCTTCCAGTAAATTTTGGGAAGGTAAAGTTAGATTTTGTAGAATATTTTTTTTTAATTTCAAAAAGTGGTATTTCTCTTGCATTCATAGCACAGACTCTAAACTGGCATTTTCAGTCTTTCCCCATCTTCAGTGAAGCTGATTTTCTACCTGCTCTTTCTCCATCCTGGCTGTGCTCCCCTCCCGGGGGCATCTGAGTGAAGTCTCCTACTTCCTTCTATCACAGCAAAGAGAGCTGCACTTGAATATCTCCAGGTATAAAAAACATACAAAGTCAGACGTCTGAGCACATCTGCTTCCCGACACAGGGAGCAGCTCTGCGAGCCTGTTAACTGGTGCCTGAATCTCGTGCTTGGAATCACCTGGGGCAGGACCACCTCGTCCAGAGCCCCTGCAGGCCCTAACAGTCACTGAACACCCACGAGGCCACTCTGAACCAAAGTCACCTGTAGTGAGGGCGGATACAGTAAACAGTGGGTTCCACTTCCACCCGAAACACAGCAGAAAATGTCTGCTATCCTCTCCTGGCATTTTTCAAATGTGTGTTTAGTAGATAGACAACTCCTCATGTTTCTACACATGTCTTTTAAAAAAAAAAACCCCGTAAGAATTTTCTATAGGGTACTTCCCTGGTGGCGCAGTGGATGAGACTCCATGCTCCCAATGCAGGGGGCCTGGGTTCAATCCCTGGTCAGGCAACTAGATCCCACACTCTTAGTGCCACAACTAAGAGTTCGCATGCCACAACTAAGGAGCCCGCCTGCTGCAACTAAGGAGTCGGCGAGCCGCAACTACGGAGCCCTGGAGCTGAACTAAGAAGACCACGTGCCGCAACTAAGGAGCCCACAAGCTGCAACTAAGGCCCGGCGCAACCAAATAAATAATTTTTAGAAAAAGAATTTTCTATAAAAGACTCCACTTTAGGCCAAGGGTACATCAGACTTTGCATTCTATAGTACAGACAGTTTTTCCTGAATTTTTGCACTCACATATCAGTCTTTTATATGGTATTTAATAAACAGACTTAACATTATTTTTAGCCAGCCTGCTCTTCCTGGATACTTAGGTCAGTTCCAATCTTTTAATTCTGCTACGGCTCTCTTTGCCATTTGTCATTTCACATATTAGAATGTACCCTTAAGATAAATTCCTAGCAGTGGGATTCAAGGTAAAAGTGTATGTGTGTGTGTGGTGTATGGGGCTCTTATTTTTCTTTATAAACACTGTGAAATATTATACTGAAAGCTACGTGAGACGTATAATACTTAAATGACTATAAAGCAAGCACCAGTAAAATGTTACCAACCCCCCTACAAGTCCCTCCTTTGCCTCTACCCTTTATAACCCGCATCATCCTTCCAGAAGAAGTTACTGTATTCTGTGGTGTTCATTTAATTATCATCAGAAAACATGCATTTTGAAGAACTGTAAGCCAAAGGAAAAAGAATCCAGGATGAGATCTAACACATGTAGATTTAACAGGAAATCACCGTAAGCTTGGCTTGTCTGAAGCCAGCTTCTCGCTTTATCTTAGCTCATGGGTGCTGCTTATAAGGAACAACATAAAAATAACTGAGAAACAGAAAGAAAGAGTTGGTGGTGCGAGACAGAACACGGGATTGTACTCACCACAGGGCGAGTCGTTGCTCAATTTCCTTGAGAAAATTTGTATGAAATTTGTGCAAAGGTTCAAAATTCGGGAAAATGAGACTTTTCAAGGTTTCGGGCATGGAGTCCTCTTTGCTTACTGTGCTCTGAAACCACTGGGAATAAAAAGAGGACACTCTTAGGGGCGTTAAGCTGAAGGATGAAGGTCTGCAACTCTTCAGACGTAACGCTGCAGCCCACCACGCGTGGAGGCTAAAGGGCTTTCCTGCCGCGTCTGTAGAATTTCAAGAGCATCAGGGGCTTTCAAGCTTTACTGCTTTCCCTCCTTTCATTAGGTGGGGTAAGAAGTACCCATCTCTTCGTTACCGCTTCCTGAAGTTTGTTACCAATTGACTGTGGAAGTCGGGACAAATCTCTGAAGTGGGCAGATACTGAAATCAAAACTTCCATTATGGCCAGCTCACTGGGTCATCGCTGAGTTATACCACTTCACGCCCTCTGGTTTAGTCCTTGAGAAACTTCCATCTCTGCTCCTTCGCTGAAATGCTGAGCAGGAAGATGGCTGAACCAGAGAGGTGAAGCCTCTGCCTTCACACACATTACTCATCTCACTGACCTGAAGTCCAGGTGGGTCCCACAATGATTGCTGAGCACCTGCCCAGGTCACCACGGCTGCCCTAGAGGCACAGAAACCCAACGATTCCAACTGACCTCCAGTGGGCTAGGTTCCTTCCCAGAATCCAGGATCATGAAGTCATCTGCCATGCTTTGAATTTGTTTCCAAGACTGAACAGGACTGATTAAAAAAAGGCAGTCTTTTGGGTAGATTTTGCTGACATGGCTCAATTTATTGGCAAAGATAAAACAAGGCTTCTAATTCGCCTCTGAGGTCTCCATCAAGCAAAAATAAAGGGCGAAACACGAAATGTTCTCCATCGGTGCAGGCAGACAGTAAAACGTTTCATTTTAAATTTCTCCACTTTAGAAACTTCCTTCCTTTGCACTTAAAAATCACAGTTATAAAAGCTTTTTAGAGCATATTCCAAATTAAACATACTACTACTGCCTAATTTCTACAACCCAGAACCAAAATTCTTTTAATCGGAGTCAGAGAACCCAACATTTAATTAGATCCAGCTTGTCTCCTAAAGCTGAGTATCAGGCAAGATAAATTATGTAATCTAAGGCTTTAGGGGAAATGCTACACATACCGAAGTGATGACTTCGAGATCCTTCAGATACGTTCTCTCAGTGGTGGAGACTTCCTTAGCGATGAAGTACGCTTTGTCAGTTGGAAATCTCTGCAAAATCCATTAAAAGAAAGAAGACATAATCATTTGGGCCTAAAGTCTCTAAGCATGTCCTGATTATAAGCAAGTCCTAACTAAAGTGATACGTTGCTAACTTACGATCTTTGGTTGACTGGTATCAAGGCTAAATAAACTCTTATCTATTCTCCTTTTTTGGTGTGAGAGGAACTAGGATAGAAAATGGATTTCTATGATGAGAAAACTGCCTAGGAATGTTTCCTTCCATGTAAATACCACCCGCAGTGAAAGGCCTCGAATGGGTGTGTTAGCTGTCACTGAGGACTATTCATTCAATACTGGGCACCTGAAAATCTAATTAATTAGGATAACAGAGTGGTGCAGGCTTCAAGGAAATGAATGAAACAGAAAGCACAGCAGCCTTTGTCCTGGGCGTCGTGGGCTGGTGCTATTGATTTTCAGAAAATGGAAGTTACATTGTTCATGGGAACACGAAGGGTACTGATCCAAAGGGACGAGCGTTACAGCAGCTACAGTCCATTGGTTAGGCGGGCAGGCAGCACTGCCCTAGAGCAGGTCTGCCACTGGTTTTGCTTCTCTTTAACCAACAATTAAAAGGGAATCCCTTGTTGTTAACCATCTTGCTTCCCACAAGAGTCCAACCGATTCCACCTCTGGGGATACACACGAAGCAGAGATGAGAACAGATACTTGTATACCCACGTTCCCAGCACGTTAAGACGAAATAGCCAAGAGGAGGAAACAACCCAGCTGTCCATCAATGGATGGATGAATACACAAAATGTGGTATCTCCATACAATGGAATACTAGTCAACCTAAAAAAGGAAGGACATTCTGACATGCGCTACCAACATGGATACACCTTGAGGACAATTATGCTAAAGGACATAAACCAATTACAAAGGGACAGACACTGTATGATTCCACTTATACGAGGTTAATGCCTAGGGCAGTCAGTTCACAGAGACAGAAAGCAGAACGGTGGTTTCCAGAGGCTGGGCGTGGGGGGGTAATGCTCAATGTGCATGGAGTTTGTTCGAAGGATGACCGAGTTCTGGAAATAGTGATGATGGTCACACAGCACTGTGAGTGCACTGAATGTCACTGAACGGTGTGCTTAAGAATGGTTCACATGGTAAATTTTATGTTATGTGTATTACTGGAAATGACAACAAAAGATCAACAGGCGAGCGCCTGCCGTCCCCACACCTTTCTCCGGCTGTCGTCCTCGTCGTCAGTCCGAGGGCCCGCCTGGTCGTTCAGCAACGGGCTGACCAAGGGGGAGGCCTGCTTGGTGTCGGGGCTCAGGTTGGGTGACAGGACGGTGCTGGTGGGCACAGCTCCTCCCTGCGAGTTGATGGACAGCTCTGAAAGGTGAGGGCTGCCAGTCAGGGAGCCTGTTTGGGGATGAGAAGTATTAAAGAAAAGAAAAAAAAAAAAGTAATTCCTTCTGGGACCTGGTGTCCACTTACAATTTTCACCTAATCAAACCTTTATAAGCTTGACTACCATATGGCACACTTATGATGCCCTTCGTGATTTTCTAGTTTTTTCCCTAAGTTGCAGCTGCCTTAATCCTAAAGATACTATTCAGTGGAACACAGTTATGTCATTAATGATAAGGTGGAGAACTCTGCTTAGAGCATAATTACAATAGTTTAAAAGCATCGTGTATCTGCAAATAGGATCTTCATCTCCTAACTACTGCCTTAGCTTCTAAGAATTACTCGAGAAAGAGTGTCTATATCACAAGGAGACGTGGGAAGTGACCAGAAAATAGAGCTATTCTAATAGAAGACTAAAGGACTTGGGACACCCAGGACAGACTACATCTTGGAACAACGGGCCACAGGTAGAGAAAGGGAAAGCAGCCACCTCCCCATTCTACGAAGAACAGAAGCGAGCTTGTTATACCTGGTGATGTCACTCCATGTCTCTCTCACTGTTTGGGACAGAAACACTAGTATCACAATTACAGCAAAGGTGATCATTTAAAAATGCAAAGCTGGAGGTCATTACATTATCATAATTCCCCTTTATGAGTCAAAAAATGATAGGAAATTAATCATTCCTCTGAGAAGGATACCACAGTAAATAACAGGAAAATGTATAATTAAATGAGATGATGTGCACATGAAACTCTGTGCCAACAGAATTTTGCCAATACCGATACCTCAACCTTTTGAAACTACTAATAAAATGAGATGTCTCAAAATCTACTTCTAAACTAAGTGTTTTGCCTGACAGTTTTATAATTCTAAAGCAGATCTGCAAAAACTAGGATTAGGGTAAACAAAGTTCCAGTAGCCTGCAGTCCTGTCAGTTACCATCATAGGGAAAGACGACATAAACGCTTTCTCCATTTTCCAATAAACAGGTTCATGCTCATGGCTACTCAGCACAGTATCAAGGATCTCGGAAGGAAAGGGGAAGTGCGGTTTTCCAGGAATCCCCCCATTTTCTGGACCTCTGTCCTTTCTCTCTGGATTCATTCATATTCACTCGGAAATTACAAGACAGGTCAGCCTCGAATGAAGCTGATGGAGTTGGGTAATGAACTTGATCCCAGTATGAATGAACCTTGCAGAAGCCGCCACCAGCCCCCACCCGGTCCCAGGTTGACCAGCTAGCTGTGTCACCTACACACGGGTGAAAAGCCACCATGCCCACAAAAGCAACGGAAAGCAGACATCCTGCCCACTGACTGCTGGTCAGTACAATCATCCCTGAAGAACAAGATGAGAACATGTCAGGTAAAGTCAGATTCCAGAAGTTCGCATTAAAAAATAATCCATTTAAGCTCCTTGCGTTTTCGTAGACATCATTAAAACAAAGTCCTGATGTGAGACAAAGACGCAATCACCCCACACACCACCAGACCCAGTAAAACCCGGAGAAAAAGGCCAGAAATTGCTTCACAAATGTCAATTTTATTGACACTAGTGCACAACCGAATACAATCATTTCAAGAGAATTGGAACTTGTCAAATAGAATAGTGACAACAATCATAACTGCAATTGATTCAAGGTACTACACTATTCTCTTAAAAAAAAAAGAATCACAAAAAGAAAAATGTTATCACTACAAAGAGGAAGTAGAGAAGAGAACTTCTGGCAGTCTGTCTGGAGATCAAAACATTTCATGCATTTGTGAGTTGCTATTGGAGGGTCACCTTTTATTTGTCCACCATCATCTGGCAAAGCATGGGGGCTTACCTTCAGCTCTCACACTACGTATGAGACCAGGTGAGGCGGTGTAAGTGAGAACATGCCGGGCCTTGAATCTGCAGTGACGTGGGACAGAAAAAGCGTTCGCCTCCTCATTGAAAGAGTTGGAGCCATGAACAAAGAGCCGTTAGAAGGCTAGCTTGAAGGAGGCGTGCAGGTGGGGAAACAGTACTGATTAGTCCCTGGACGGCATCCAGCAGCAGATAAAAAACCAAGTGCCACATGGCGAGGGAGGAAATAAGGGGAAACACACTCGAGTGCAACCATGTCCACCCTCCAAAGGTCGACAGTTGCCCTTGTGAATTTCCCCGGGGACACTTCAGTTTGGTAGACCTAGCGGGCCAGAAGGGTGAGCTAACAGACCAGGGCTCCGGGAGAGGTGCCGCCCTGCCAAGAAGGCAGGACACATTGCAGAGAAGATAGCAATCTAGAAGACACCCCACTGGAGCACACTGGAGACAGGATTCAGAAAGCGGGACACCGAGAGTGAACCTGATGACAACCAATGTCCCTATGTAGAGTCCGGGGCAGTTCCGGGTTCAGCTACGTTCTCACTCACGTGGCCTAAAGGTGTGTGTGACACCGACGTTACACGTGCAATACACAACCTTGGAGGATGACCAAATTAGGGTAGCCCATTTCCATTTCCTGAGAGGCTACTTCAACGGGCTTTGTGTCTACTAACGGGGCCCAAGAAGGCCAAGGCGATGAGTGTATTTAAATAGTAAGACCAATAAATCAATAAAGACCAAGCAGCCTGTTCTAGAAATCTATCAGCAATGCTAAGGAAGGGAAAGGTCCCAAACTCTGAGGTTCCATTTACCAATCTGAGCCACATCCATGGAGAATAGCCTCCTTCCTCCCCTTGCAAGAGGAACTTCTCAAGGCTTTGAAAATTCATAGATGACATGTGTCCCAAACAAAAACAGGTAGCTCATTTACCATTCAACAATCAATGCAATATGCTGACGAGAGTAATCAGTAGAATTTGGCAGCTTGGTGAGTAATTAAAGTTCTCTTTCGACTTGGAGCCAGTGTGCGCCAAGGGTCTGTACAAACTCGTGTCCCCGCAGGGCCTGCCCTCAGGCAAGTGTGAAGAGTAACTAAGGTCACAGTTACTAGAGCTACAGGTGACCAATTTTCACTGAAGTCGTCCATTTGACAATAAAAGCAAACAAACATGGCGATGTTAGATCAAATGACTCTGCCAGGTTTCTGCAACCTTATAAAGCTGTTCCCATCACACAGTCTGTCCCCTGCCTTGAAGGCACAGCCCTGGGCAATGAGGAGAAATGGTGACTGGTGTTCATGGCTACTCCATGAACTGATTAATGCCTGGCAATTTTTATCATTTTCCTCCTCTATGGCAAATTGACACAAAGGAATTTCTTTCAGCAAGGGGCTCTAGGTAAATAACTTGGGGCGGGGGGAGAATCTTCTAAGAAACCACCTGGATATTAAGGCAATAGGTGGAAAAAAGTCTGAAGAGATTAGAAAAAGATCAGTTACCGCCCTAAAAGTCTGGAAGCTTTTGATTCTTAAAAGAATTTCTTCCTATTTTTAGAAATTGCCCTGCAGGTTTTTCGGCATTCAGTTATACTTCTGGTTAACGACTTTCAAGTCCCTCATCTCTACCAAATAATTTCATGACACGCCTCCCTTCGCCACCCCCAGATCTCCATGTCCCCGCGTCCACCCTTAATCTGTATCAAGAGGGCTGAGTTTATGACACTCCCCCGGATTACACATGCCTTCACTAATGCTACTCTCAAGGGGGGCATTTCTGGTAACTGCTTTAAAAAAAATCCTTTTAAATGTACACATTCTCATGGCGCAAACAATTATGGAACTTCAAATTAGCACTGCAATATGTATAGATTTCAATTTATCACCCAGCCCAGAAACTGGGTTAGCTGCTCTATGTTTTTAATGTAATATACATTCATAATTCTTCTCTCTGGCTGCACAGGGGAAGTTGGATTTGCAGCCCCACCCAGACTGGAGTATCTCTTGACCAGCCCTCCACCAGAGGCACATGAAACAGTGGGAACATGGTTTATGATCGAGAAGCCAAATTCACGCCTGCCTTCCGCGCTTGGGACTGGGTACAAGCCGCCTAGTGACCATCTACTTCCTCTGACTATACTAAAAGGCTTAAGAACAAACTCACACAAGCCTGGAGAAAGAGAACTCTCTAATCTGTTTTTCCAGTAATAAAAATGGCATTTCAAATACTTAGTTGTACCTGTCCTGTTTTAAACTAGTCAAATAAATTGGGAATCCTCATTTTTAATTAGATAAGTGTTATTTTTCCTGTTAAGGAGGGAACCAGAAAACCTGACAACTTTAAAAATAGTAATCCATAGATGTGGTAAATATTAAAATATCTGAGAAGACAGATGAAAGTGAGACTGTTGATTGCTTTCTCAAGTTCTCTTTTCAAAATTATAAAAAGTACAATTATTTAAAAAGTATCTATGAGGATTTCCTCAATATTCTCCCAAAGTTCTGTATTTGGCAAATGTCTAGATGCCACTCATCTATTGTGATTTGTCTCCTGCCATTTGCTTCTAAAATATAGGAGACTGTAACTCTATGTACCCAGAATATGCTTCAAAGGCGCACGTAGGAAATACATTACAGATGCAGGTTTGCATTTATTTTTAAAAAGGCTCTTTTTAAATCCACAGTCTCCCTCTAAAAGAGAAGACAAACCCTCTCTGGAGATGGTCTGCATTTGAAAGCCAGTTACCGGGGAAAAAAAAAAAAAAAAAAAAGTCAGTACTGTATTGATTCATGAGAAGTCTCCAGACCAGGCAGGATTCACTCTAGTCTGATAACTAAGCTGGGTCCCACCCCAATGGAATATGTGAGGAAAAAAAAAAGGGGCTGACAATGTTTCATTGAAGTTACAAGATTCCACAAGAAAAACCAGGTTATAGGATTACCAATCATAGCAGGGTGGCCTTCTTCTCGATAACTTAGGTTGTTGTGCGTAATGTACGTGCTTCTTAGACCAAGTTCCTTGAAGAAAAGTTTTACAAGCAGCTAAACATCAACGTTACTGTTCATCATCAAGCAATTCAGAAAAGCAACAGAAATGCAACTTGCAGAAAAATAAAGAGAAATGCTGCTAATGGGAAAACGACAGCGAATGCACTAGCTTGTT